CGGGACCAGTCGGGGACGGTCCACATCCGGTCCTGCAGACCCCATCCTCAGACCTGGGTCCCCACGCGCTAGATGTCCCACTTCAGACCCACACCCCGATTCTAGACCCTTCACCTCGGACTCCAGACCCAAATCTCGCCTCCAGGACCCCGTCGCGGACCCCCGACCTCAGACCCCAGCCCACTCGCTCCGGACCCCAAACTCCCGACCCCAGACTCCATGTCTAAAATCAGCAGACCCCGATCCAGACACTTAACCCGGTCCCTGGGCCCCAGATCCCAAATCCAGACCAACCCAGAGCTTGGGCCCCAGATCCGGGACCCCAGCCCTGAGCCTGAGGGGCCTGCCTGCCCGGGGGAGGGGACCCCACTGCACAGGGGGCCGAGGGCGCCGAGGAGGCGTGATGCTGCCGCATCGCGGGGTGCTCTGTGCTTCCTATGGGCCGGTCCCATGGCCCTACAGCCCAACCCTGCAGCCTTGCTCATGCAATACATGTGTGAAAAACAAAGGTGGGCGCTTGCACATGCAAGAAAAAATACAGGGGAAATGAGTATCCGCTATCCCGTGCATATTTGTCTTCTTTCGTGTTTGTTTTGTTTTGTGTTTTACGAAGAGCAGAATCTTTTCCTGTAGTTGGTATCACCCTGAACAGATACCCTTTGGTAAGGGACTATCGGCTGTTTACCTGGGGATGCTGAAAAATGGCTCAGCCAAATAAAACCAGGTGTGGCTAGTGATTCGAGGAAGAATGAAAATCCGGATTCTTGCTTTTTGAGGATAATTACAGATTCATGCCGTTCTGACTTTAGTCATTTTTTATAAAATCCTCACTCGAGGGAGGATATGTTTTTATTGATTTTTAGAGAGGGGGAAGAGAGAGAAATATTGACCCATGGCTTCCGGTACGTGTCTCGACTGGGGATTGAACAACCAACCTATGTATGTGCCCTGACCAGAAATCGAACCTGCAGCCTCTGGTATACCAGAAGACACTCCAACCAACTGAGCCACACTGGCCACAGCTACACACAAAATTTTGGTGGAAAATTGATTAAAGGCTACTTCAGTGGTCAGGAAGAACTGATAAGTATGTGTGTGTGTGTGTGTGTGTGTGTGTGTGTGTGTGTGTGTATGTTTTTATTTAAATTTCAAAGAAGGGAAGGGAGATAGAAACATCAATGATGAGAGAGAATCATCAAACAGCTGCCTCCTGCATGCCCCACATTCAGGATAGAGCCCATAACCTGGGTATGTGCCCTGACTAGGAATCAAACTCTGACCTCCTGGTTTGTAGGTTGACACTCAACTACTGAGCCACACCAGCCGGGCTAGAATTGATAAATTTTAAAGACTGAGTTCATATTGCTATTTACAGTTTAGCTCTAACAATACTCCTTTTTTAAAAAATATATTTTATTGATGTCCCCCAATGGAGATGTGCACGCAACCCAGGTACCTGCCCTTGACCGGAATCGAACCTGGGACCTTTCAGTCCGCAGGCCGAGGCTCTATCCACTGAGCCAAACCAGTTTCGGCTCTAACAATACTCCTTAACAGGTGTCCTTAGTAACTACACCTGACCTGGCCTACCACTTGTTATTTTATCCTTTTAATTATATTTTTATTGACTTCAGAGAGGAAGGGAGAAGGAGAGAGAGAGAGAAACATCAATGATGAGAGAGAATCATTGATGAGCTGCCTCTTGCACTCCCCCTCCTGGGGATCAAGCCTGCAACCTGGGCATGAGCCCTGAGGAGAATCAAACAGTGACCTCCTGGTTCATAGGTCGATGCTCAACCACTGAGCCATACCAGCTGGGCACCGTTATTTTAAATAAAGTTTTATTGTCACACAGCCATGCCCATTCATTTGCTTGCTGTCTACCTGCTTTCTGGCTTCCAGAAAAAAACATGAGTAGTTGCCTCAGAGACGACATGGCATGCAAAGCCAAAAATATTTACTCTGTGGCCCTTTGCAGAAAATATTTGCAGACCCCTGCTCTAGAAATGATTTTACTGTTTTCTCTCATCATTTGGTGAATCATAGAAGTTTTTAAAGATCCTGATTATAAGTTGTGTAATTTCTTTTTTTTTAAAGGGGGAGAATGATGATTTTTATTTTTTTAAATGTATTTTATTGATTTTTTACAGAGAGGAAGGGAGAGGAAAAGAGAGTTAGAAACATCAATCAGCTGCCTCCTGCACACTCTCTCCTGGGGATGTGCCCTCAACCAAGGTACATGCCCTTGACCGGAATCGAACTTGGGACCCTTGAGTCCGCAGGCTGACGCTCTATCCACTGAGCCAAACCAGTTAGGGCAAGTTGTGTAATTTCTTTTGATTTATTGATTTTGAGAGAGAGAGCGAGCGTGATTTGTTGTTCCACTTATTTATGCACCCATTGGTTGGTTCTTTTTTTTTTTAATCCTCACTGGCGTACATGTTTATGTTTTTATTGGTCTTAGAGAGGGAGGGAGGGAAGGAGGGAGGGAGAGGGAGAGAGAGAGAGAAACATTGATGTGAGAGGGAAACATTGATCAGTTGCCTCCCCCGGAGGCACTCACAACCTGGGTATGTGCCCTGACCAGGAATCAAACCCATGACCTTTCAGTGTATGGAACGATGCTCCAACCAACTGAGCCACCCGGCCAGGGCCATTGGTTGGTTCTTGCATGTGCCC